GAAAGAAAGAAAGAAAGAAAGAAAGAAAGAAAGAAAGAAAGAAGGAGCGAGGGAGGGAGGAAGGAAGGAAGGAAGGAAGGAAGGAAGGAAGAAAGAAAGAAAGAAAGAAAGAAAGAAAGAAAGAAAGAAAGGGAAAACCTGTTTGGGAGTGGATTGGGGCATTAAGACTGACGTATAATCCAGCATTCATAAAAGGATATTTGGGGGGTTTTCCCTGTTTTTCTTACAGAGACCAAATGACCCAGAGACTGTAGAAACCATTCTGGAACACTTGGACCGAGACAGAAATGGATATGTTGATTTTCGTGAATACCTCTTGTTGGTGTTCCAATTGGTCCAAGCTTGCCATCGTAAACTAGATAGTAAGTCATGTGGAGGTAGAACCTCCTCCCAGAAAGAACGGTGTCAGAAAGGAACACAGAGCCATAAGTTTTCTGAAAACACAAGCAGACAGCCTAGGCAGTCTGAAGGACAAAGTCAGGATGTCCAGGAGCATAAGGACTCGCTCCAGGGTCAGGCAGAGAGACAAGACACGGATTACAGCTCTGATCAGTCTGAGACAGATGATCAGCACTCTAGCCCTGATCAAAGACTGAGTCATAAATCTAGCAACGACCGACCCAAAAGTCAAGGATATATCTTTGCCTTAAATCAGCCTGAGATCCCAGCTCAGGTTTCTCATTATGGCCAGTCTAAAACATTTGGACGACAAAGCAGCCATGGCCAGTCTGGAAGACTCCGACAAGATTCTTACTCTAGTCAAACCAGTCATCAAGAATCTGGTTCTTATGAACAATATGGAAAGCAGTATCAGAAATCAGGCAACAGTCAGACAGACAGACAGGCCCAGAATTCTCGCTATGGTCAGTCAGACAAACAAAAACATACGTTCCAACATGGTCAGACAGATGGACAAGGTCAGAGCAAAGGCCAGAATTTTCATTATGGTCAGACAGGCATTAAAGGACAGAGTTCTCATCAGGGTCAGACAGGCATTAAAGGAGAGAGTTCTCACCAGGGTCAGACAGGCATCAAAAGCCAGAGTTCTCACCAGGGTCAGACAGGCATTAAAGGACAGAGTTCTCACCAGGGTCAGACAGGCATTAAAGGTCAGAGTTCTCACCAGGGTCAGACAGGCATTAAAGGACAGAGTTCTCACCAGGGTCAGACAGGCATTAAAGGCCAGAGTTCTCACCAGGGTCAGACAGACAGACAAAACCAGAGTTCTCACCAGGGTCAGACAGACAGACAAAATCAGAGTTCTCACCAAGGTCAGACAGGCAGACAAGACCAGAGTTCACGCTGGCATCGGACAGACAGTCAAGGCCAGGGTTTTCAGTATGAACAGACAGGCAGACAAGGTCAGAGTTCTCACCAGGGTCAGATAGACAGACAAGAGAGTTCAGGTTGGCATCGGACAGACAGTCAAGGCCAGGGTTTTCAGTATGAACAGACAGGCAGACAAGGCCAGAGTTCTCACCAGGGTCAGACAGACAGACAAGAGAGTTCAGGTTGGCATCGGACAGACAGTCAAGGCCAGGGTTTTCAGTATGAACAGACAGGCAGACAAGGCCAGAGTTCTCACCAGGGTCAGATAGACAGACAAGAGAGTTCAGGTTGGCATCGGACAGACAGTCAAGGCCAGGGTTTTCAGTATGAACAGACAGGCAGACAAGGCCAGAGTTCTCACCAGGGTCAGACAAGCAGTAAAAGCCAGAGTTCTCACTGTGATCAGTCAAAGATTGGGAAAACTGAACTCCAGAGGCAAAACAGGACCTTCCAAGGAACTGATAAAGCAAGAGACTCATATGTTGAACAATCTGGAAGATCAGGAAAACTAAGTCAACAGACTTCAAGAGAAGAAGTAAATCAAACCCAGAGACAAAGATTCCAGGATAAAAGGGAGCAGCAAAGCCACCACCAGGCATGGAAGCTTGAAGATGGTAATAAGCACAAACTCTTAGCTCCGATACAGCAAGAAGAGCCATACCCCCATGAAGAGTATGACTGGCAATCACAGAGTAGCGAGGAGGGCCACTGGGAAGAGGAAGAGCATCAAAATTGGGATGGACACAGTTTTGAGGAGCAGGAAAGTCTATATGAGATGTAGAACAGACAAGCCCACAGAGATGAACAACGCATCAGAAACAGGATAGGCAAACCTCTGTAGATGAGCAGAACCAGAAAAGACAACACAGGACAACTCATGTAGAAAATCAAGATCATCAACAAGGTAGACAATGCATGAAGATAAGCAAAACCATCAAGGAAAACACAAACATCAAAAGCATCATCAACTATGGGATAGACAAACTCATGAAGAAAATAAAAGGTATCAAGGATCCCAAGACCAATCCAGAAACTTACCCAACAAAGAAAAAATTCACATGAATGAAGATGACCAGGGCCAAGGATCCCAGGGAAGACATTTCTTTCCAACCCATGGTAGTGGCAGGTCCTAAAGAAGAGAACAATATGGAAACTACCCTACCAAAACAGCTAATTCTCCCAGCCCCCTCTACGACTATGTACGAGAGCAAGCAATGAGTGCCAGAGGTGAAGCATTTTGAAGCTAATGAAAAAAGCTATGTGTCAGTTCATCTTTGTGTCTGTTTAAAAACCTGAAGTTGTATGTCATCTTTCTCTTTTTCATCTGCCTACTAGAATCCTTTTGAAGATTAGTATAGTACTACACTTTTTGAAATCAGTTCCTTGAGTAGCAATTCTAGGGTTATTGATTGGGTGAAGTAAAGTAGGGGAACTAATCAATCTTCATTTTGATCATCATTCCTAGTTTGTTTTCAGTTTAGGTGATACTTGATTGAATCACTGAATGGTAGAACATTCTTCCTAAAGTTTAAAAATGGGAAAAGGTACACTTAAGATTTCTATTACATTTGAAGAAAGAGATTCTGGACTTTGGTGAGCTTTGGCTGCTATGCGAAAAATATCAGGAACTCCAAGAATTATGGTCTAGACTTTGATGAAGAACACTGGGAAGCCTCGAGGAGAGAGAGAGAGATCACTGAGACCAACATCTCTGATGCCTAGGCTCCTGTTCTTCTGTTGCTGGGTCATGAGAGCTGAACTGACCCCTACTAATCCATTACATATAGAGAAAATATATCTCATCTGTTTGAAGTTCCTGGTAGCCCAAGTTATCAATTCTGGAAACTTTTTCAACAAAGATCATGTGTAGATCATGAAATTATATCAAAACAATAAATGTTTGGTGAGCAATGATGTTGATGGCTTTTTTTCTTCTTTAATATGGAAATATGACCTTCACTTATGGGCATTTTCTAAGAATAAATCTTCATTTCTTAGGATTGGAAAGGTAGTCCAGCAGCTAAAAGCACTTGCTATTCTTATAGAGGCTTCTGGGGTTTGGTTCCTACACTCATGTGTTGGCTCATAACTGCTGTGGAATATTCCCTTTGTACACTGTGAAGATTTATCATTGTGATTGGTTTAATAAACAAGTTGACTGACTAATAGCTGAAAAGCATAAAGTTAGGTGGGAAAACCAGACTAAGAGGATGCTGGGAGGAAGAAGGGAGGAAAAAGTGGAGAAGTCAGTCAGCCACTGGAGAACAAGGTGTGCTAGAAGACAGGTAAAGTCACAAGCTACATGGCAAAACATAGATTAATAGAAATGGGTTTATTTAAATGTAAGATCTAGTTAGTAATAAGCCTGAGCTATTGGCCAAACATTTTTAATTAATATAAGCCTCTGAATTTGAGAACTGGCAGGTAGGATAGAAACATCCATTTACATATAGCCATCCATAACTCCAGTTCCAAAGGATCTGAAACTCTTTTCTAACCCGAAGAGAAACAAGCCCATATGCAATACATATCTTATGTGCAGGCAAAATACTCAGACAAATAAAGCAAAATTAAAATTTTTGAAGACCTCATTTCTTATCTTCTAAAATATCTTTATGAAGCTGAGCATGGCGTTTTGTCCTTGTATTCACAGCTCTCAGAGGGCTAAGACAGAAAGATCTCAGTGAGTCCTAGACCAGTCTGACCTACATAATACTTTTCAGGCCAGTATGGAAAACAGAATGGGACACTGTCTCAAAAAAACAACAACTCTGTTTGTTCTCTGAGTTTCTGAGCGCTTACAACAGAAATCATTAGAAACAAATACTAAATAGCCAAAATAAACTTAAGTTCTCATCTACACATAATTTTCATCTCTCTTCTCCACCATCCGATACTTTTTGCTCTTACCACTCATTTGCTGCCACATTGAGACGGCCATTAAGTCCTGCCAGCTCTACATCCTCCCTGACTCCAACACTCCTGCTTGGAAAGATTCTAATGCACATCCCGCACTCTTACTGTAAGGAGGTGGAGTAAGTATAGGAGGAGCTGGGAGGGGATGCTGAAGGCCATTGGCCATAGGACACGGGGAATATAATCCACACCAACAGCCCTCGCCATAGCACACGGAGAATATAATCCATAGCTTAGACACTTTCCCTATAGGAAAACTGTCTCACTCCCCTCCTTGTTACAAGGGTGGTTTTCTTGTGCTTATGACACTGGGCCTTATATAACAATCTGCTAAGCAAGGCCTGTGATCATGGCAGAGGGATTTGAGCCTCAGACACAGGCATGCTCTTCTGCCAGGCGCTTTCTAAACGGCACGGTTTTTAAATAGTAAGAGGAGCTTTTCCTCGCAGACGCTCTCTAAATCAGAGAGAGAGACAGGATGAAAGGCACTGGAGCCATTTGGTGGCTCCGACCGAGTTCAGGGAGGCGTTCCCTGCTCCAATCAACCACCTAGGGGGAACAGTTCACTAGGATCCTTCCTCTTCCTCAGTCAAAGCATCAAGAAGCCCTTTCCTCTATCACCAAACACAAGAAGCCCAAATCTCTCCTCACTCTTTTCAGCCCCACTCCCAGCACTCAAGTGGTATCGTTCTTGTCCTCCAAAACCGTTTCCTTATGCATAGGCTCCCCGTTCCTTTCATAATGCTGACTGTGTCACGTGATTCCCTACTGGAAGTTCTCAGGATTTTCCCACTACTCTGAGAAGAAAATCAAGTGTCCTCCCCAACCCTTCCTGCAAGATGACCTTGCAGGACCCCATCTCTTACCACTTCCCTCTGAACTTACCGTTTTCTAATCACCCTGGCCTTTTCCCCCTGTGATTCTAGCAGACACGTTGGCTCTCACTCGGAAACCTTCGTGCCAGATATTTCTCTAGTTCAGAACAGTCTTTCCCTCAATAGTTGTATGTCTGAGTTCTCATTTCATTCGGATCTTGCCTCGTGTCACTCCCCTGGAGAAACTTTCTCTGGCTTCATTCTAAGAGAGTCTCCCTCCAATCTCTGTCACTTAACTTCTTTCTCATCATTTTTCTTCTTAGCACATTTTTGTACTTTATTTTTTTAATGATGTTAATTTATTGTTTCTATTCACCTGGAAGAAAGACCCACAAGGAGAAAGATTTTTATCTTGGCTGTTATTGTACCTCCTACATCTCAAATGGTAACTTGCCATGATACATACCCAATAGTTACTATGTTGATCGAACGCCTTCCAAGCCTGATGTTCTGCCTTCAGTGTCTACTCCAACCCAGCTTTTGCACTGTCCCTAGACTCCAACTCAACTGGACAGCTCTCCAGCATTGCTTGGTTTATACAATCTCTTCACTTAACTGATTTCTTGATTTCCACCTACCAAAATCCCACCCATTCCACGGACTGTGGCACCTCTGGTCCTACCATCAGCAGAGCTTCCCATGGTGTGTCAAAGCCAAGTTTAAACCCATCTGCTTCCTGCCAAGGTGTAAGGTCTACAAGTCACTTACCATTGGAGCTTCAGGGCAAAGCACAGCTGTGCTTCTCTGGAAGGAGAGGTGGGAGCTGAAACGAAGAGCTCTGTGTTAACTGAAGGCCTTGTTTCATTACCAAGTTTATGACCTTAGAGAGACTTTCTCTTCAAGTCTTAGTTTCCTCATTTATAAAATGGAATTAAATATCACACGGTTGCCGAAAATAAATCAAAGTAATGTATGCAAATGTGACTTATAATTGGGTTCTTTTCTTTATTTATCTTCTATTTTTCTGGGGAAGGTCTGTCCTTTATTCTTCATATCATTGTATCATCTAGACGACTTCAGAGTATTTGACAAGTATGTGCTACTAATTCAACTGAATGGACCCTCTCCATTACATCATGACTCTGCCTCAACCATGACACCTGTCTTTGATGTCCTATTAGCAGCACTTTTTTCTGTCCCACATCCCCTCCACCACTCAGGATCCCAGCTTCCCTCTCTCTCTGTATCCTGTGCCCTACCTCCAACATTCCTCACTTCCACAAGACCCAGGAAGCCATTACCCCACTCTCTTTCAAACTCAAGACCTCAGGTTAAAAAAATAATATTTCCTGTGTCTTAGATACTCCCTCTCCATCTTCTCTCTGGGGGCTCAAATACAACAATTTCTGATGCTCAACTCTCTAAAGAGTTGTCGAAATTTTGCTTTTCCTGGTCTTCCCTCTATGACAAACCTTCTTCTCCCTGTTAATTTCCAGGTACACAGATAATTTTAGAGGTATTTTGTTGTCTGATGCCAGTGTAAACAAGTACAGTGCTGTTGCTTCCATTATGCCCTTCATCTGGGAGGTTGCTAGAGGTGGCAATACCTCAGGCTCCTTTGAGAGCAGAGAACCAAGTGAATTTTCCTCTTGTTGGTTATTACAAGACTTGATAACTCAACTGAAGTCTGATTAAATGGAACAATTACTGAGTACTCGATGTCAAATACAGTCTCTCCAAAGCAACTTTCTTTTTTTACTAGAAATATTTTTCATGCATTACATATTGATTATATTTTCCCTCCCCCAACTCCTTCCAGATCTCCCTACCCTATTTTATGTTCTCTCCCTTTCTCTCAAAAAGAGGAGAGAAAAAAAAAACAAAAGCAAGAAAGAAACAAACAAAGTCCACAAAAGTGAAAATCAAAACAGGTAAAAGATCAATAAGACAAAAACAATGCCAAAGCAAAATGAACAAAACAACCATGGAATTAGTTTTGCGTTAGTCAAGTATTTTTGGGGATGGGACCTGACCTGAATGGAGAATGGTTTATATATTCAGTGATACTCCATTGAGGACTAATGTCCAGTGACTATCAATTACTTTACCACCTCGGTGCTGGGACATTTTCATTCTTAAAAGGAAATTGTTGGGTCTCAGGAAATATCCAGGAATAAATTCAACCTGGACTATAGAGGATTCCTGGCAGTTAGACAAAAGCCAGCATTTTTCAGGAACTTGTGAGACCAGTTCTCATCTGCCGAATGAAGTCATTTCCCATCGTCCACCTTTAAAGCCTGCCAATGTATGTAAGTCCATGCTGGCCTCCAGGCTCCCTTAACATCACAAAGACCTGTTATACCTGTCAAAGTCCATGCTGGCATCCTGGTTCTTCCTGCTCC